TACTGGGCTTTTCCTCCCTCTCTAGCATGTTCTGAGACAAGATTATTTGTGCCTGTCAGTCTTCACAAGGACAAATAATTAAAAGAACTTATTGTAGCAACTATATAGAAACCTATGTGGGGAATATTAGCAGAGAAATGATATCCTGCAGCATCGTCATCAAAAGTCTCTTGGGGGGATTTTATTGTTGTGAGAAATAGATAATTCCCCTAAGAGTATTCTGGCATGCATAAATATGCAGTGTTCACGTTCCCCCTACTCCTCATCATTTACTTATTTTTCTGTTTTTTTTTTAATCTGTTTCTCAAGTGGCTTGAAAAGTCTGGTGCACATGTATTGTTAGGGATAAGGAAGAACAAGACATCATTAAAGGTAAAAGGAGGCCTCATTATAATGGTGGGAAAATATAAGGGATATTAAAAATAAAAGTATGACTACAACATCAAACCAATTGAAAATATTGTCTGACATTTGTTATGAATGCCACAATATTTTATGTGATTCATTTCTATATTACCCAACTCAGTCAATACGAGGTTTTCAAAAATGGAGCCACCATTTGGTTTCCCATCCTTTCACATTCCTAAGCAAACATAGAATCATAGAATCACAGAATCACAGAATGATTAAGGTTGGAAGGGACCTCTAGAGATCATCTAGTCCAACCTCCCCCTGCTCCAGCAGGGACACTATAGCATGTGGCACAGGGTGACATCCAGGCGGGTTTTGAAGATCGCCAGAGAAGGAGACTCCACAACCTCTCTGGGCAGCCTGTTCCAGGGCTCTGTCACCCTCATTGTCAAGATGTTCTTTCTCATATGGAGATAGAACTTCCTTTGTTTCAACTTACACCCATTACCCCTCATCCTGTCACCGGCCACCACAGAGAAGAGCCTGGCCCCATCCTCCCTACAATCACCCCTCAGGTACTTGAACGTATTAATCAAATCTCCTCTCAGCCTTCCTTTCTCCGGACTAAACAGGCCCAGCTCACTTAGTCTTTCCTCGTATGACAAATGCTCTAGTCCCTCAATCATGTTTGTGGCTCTCTGCTGGACCCTCTCTAGAAGCTCAATGTCCTTCTTGTACTGGGGAGCCCAGAACTGCACCCAATACTCCAGGGACGGCCTCAACAGAGCTGAGTAGAGGGGGAGGATCCCCTCCCTCAACCTGCTGGAAATGCTCCTTCTCATGCAGGCCAGGATCCCATTGGCCTTCTTGGCCACAAGGACACATTGCTGACTCATGGTTAACCTGTTGTCAACCAGGACTCCCAAATTCCTCTCCACAGAGCTGCTTTCCAGCAGGTCAAC